CAGCAGGATTTGTCCAGGTAGTGGACCTTCAGGTGTGAGTGTACCATGATAAATCAAACCAAGTCATCTGTTACAGTGAGGATGTAGACGTGGACCAGGACTAGTCACAGGATGTCAAACTGGACCAAGTCTCTATTTCAAAGCAGATTTTCCAGAAGTATTTAGAGACTAAATTAATCCTGTTGGATTCAGGCCTAAAATATCATTTGGAGCTGACAGAAGTCAAATGTATGACTAAAGACATCAACTTTTCAAAATTTCAGATTACATGTGTACTTCAAATGTATGACTAAAGACATCAACTTGAGAAAAATTTCAGATTACATGTGTACTTTTGAGAGAGAGCGAGAGCCAAAGGTGAGGGGGTGAGAGAAGTCAAGAGTACGAAGTTAGAGCGTTCCTTCGTCCAGCAGTTTGTTGATGCCGTTGCAGATCTTCCTTAGAGACAGTCTGTATTCCTCGCCGTCCCCGTACAACTCGGCCAGGAACTCCCCGTTGGCAAAATGGTTGAAGACGTGATCGATGCGTGCGTGCGAGCGCGAGGTCAGGTGCTGCTCCACCAGGGTGTGGAGCAGGTCCCTGCACTCCAGCAGGAGCTCCGACAGAATATTCCTGTCAAAGGTGTACTCCACCTCGTAGAACGACACCGCCGTCATGGCCGCCTGGTTCATCTTCTTCTTGAAGCGCTCCACCGTGTCCAGCTCGTCCGGGCTGAACTGATGGTTTCTGTACAAGATGCCGATCTTCAGTGCGATCTTGATCACATCCTTGATAATCTTGTGCGCCTCCTTCTTGCTCTTGGTGAACTCTCGGCTAGCCTTGTAGAGCTCGTCCAGGATCTCGCTGCTCGTGTCGTCCGTCAGCAGGTTGGCCACCGCCATGGTGGCCATCTTGCTCAGGATCTTCTTCTGGGCTTGCAGCGTTAGGGAACGGGAATTAAAGCTCTCCTGTCCTAAAACAACAGGAAGAAAAAAAGGTCAGAGGTCAAAAAAGAAAATCGTTCCAAAGTGACTCATGGTCAAAGGTCAAATCTGGACATTTTCTAGGATTTTTCTGTTGTGCTGTTGCGATGTGACCTGTGTGAACTCTTCTACAGACTTTTAGTTTTTGGTTGCGTCTTATTTGTTCTTGGGTGCCCTCATGTGGCCAAAGAAGATATATTCAAAACTAAGTCGCAGGAAAGGCCAAACTATTAAAAAACCTTCGACTAGTCTATAAAATAGTAACCTGGAGAAAACACACACACACGAGAAGAAATTGAGCACAACATACAGGAAGACAAGGAATTGAACCAGCAAATAATAAAGACCTATTTGCTGTAAAGCTGTCCTGACTTTTAGAATTCTCTACACAAACTGATTAAAACTCCAAACGACGGCTGTGACGATAGAAACACTCCAGGATGATTTACTGAAGGCAGTAATTACAAGCAATGAGAACATTCTAGAAACTGAGAGGCAGATGAAGTTTGGTGCAGCTGCATTCTGAGGCAGGGCGGCGCCCTTCCTGCAGAGGCAGTGGTGTGTTGGCAGCGGTGCTGGTGTTGGTGGCGGAGCTGCTGGTGCTGGTGGGCCTGTAATAAAGACCTGAGTGTCAGCACAGCATAACATCAAAAATGTGTAAGGACTACCAGGCGCAGCGTTTGTGAACAAGAGTCTGGTGTCGTGTTACCGCCGCCTCAGTCCATCATACAGGAGGACATCAAAGGCCGTCTTTGTTCCCCCAGCAGCAGTCCAACATGTGTCTGTGTGCATGTGAGGAGTGGGAGGACGGGGAGGACGGGGAGAGGGTTTTTTATTGAGGTGACACCAGCCTACCAATTACACACCACACCATTCTTATGCTGATTGAACCGAGGTGGCGTAACATTTCCCAGCTGCTCTCTGGCAGACTGTCAGCCGTGTCCTCCTCCACGTGTATGTGCTGAGGGAGAAGAGGAGGAAGGCAGAGAAAGTACCAGTGTGTGTCTGTGTGTGTGTGTGTGCTTTTTCATACAGTAGGTGTATAAATTAGACCCAGACTGTCAACATAATTAAGGTGGAGGACCAGATTTGCAGTTATTAAATATTTTGCCATCTACAAAATGACAGTGTGGGGTAGCAGAGCTCCCCCGGGGGGCGCCACACCACTTCAAGGGTGATGTTAGGGAACATAAAGGGCAGGTGCAGAACAACATGTAGACCAGTGGTTTTTTTTTCTTTCACCCCTCCCCAAATTGAAATACTATTGAGTGCCTGGTAATCTGTACAAACTGGTACATTCAAACATGATAATATAATTGATTGGTTGCTGTTCACCTGCCTAGGGGGCGCTATAGCACTTCAGGGGAGTTAAAAACAAGATCAACAACTCAGGTAGAAATTAATGGATGGATTTTTCATACAGTAGGTGTATAAATTAGACCCAGACTGTCAACATAACTTCCACCCCCACCCCACTCCTCCAGAACCTGTCTGCCAATCACACATCATCCAGTGGTCAGCTGTTTCCACTCACTACCTTTCCTAGTATGGTGTTCGTCCCTGACTGGGCTGACGGACCCTGAGGTTTCATCCGCTGACGTTCTCAGCTGTCCCTCTGATCACTTGGCTGATGGACGTCCAACATCATTTCAGCTCTATTTTAATCTCTCACTCCTGCTGGACGGAAAATAAATGTACACAGACGTACACAACAATATAAACCTCATCCTCAGCCAGCATCCACTACTATTTCACCGACCTCTTCTTTGAAAACTCACTGCAATCCTTAAACTATCTTAGGCTTGCCACAAGGAGGAGGAGGGAGGAGGAGGGGGGAGGAGGGCCTCAGGGATTAAGTGCATCGCCCAGAGAGATGTGTGTTCACAGCTTTATTTTAAATTCTGCCAAAGACAAACTCACTTCCTCCTGTTCTAGAGCAGAAAAACGTCTAGAGAGACGGAGAGTAGTTTCCACTCAGCCATAGAGTCTCTGTCCTGACACCAGCAGTCTCTCTAATGATACCTGCACTCCCCCACAGGACTAGCTGGTGGCTGTCGACTCACTTTCTTAGCCGCTGTCTCAATTTGGTACATCCTGTGAGTAATATAGGAAAAATGTAAAATATGGTTAACAAAAAAAAGAGAGACGGAAACAGTTAAATGAAGAAAGGAAGTGAGCGATCGAGACGGTGAAATACTTGAGCTTTAAGTCACGGGGACGGGTGAGTCAGTCTGCACAAACAGTCGGTAAAGGGTGGACGACTGTTAAAGTGCACGTGGAAACGCTGAAGAGTCAAAAATACTCCTTTGCAGCTCGTCCACAGCAGGATTTAGGAGGAGTGTTGTTGACGAGGCGGGCTGTCAGACAGAGTTAGGGAAGAGCCTCAGTTGTCAGCTCTGAGACAGTCCTGTTGTCACATCTCTTCAGTCCTCTCATTATTTTCTCTCCACTGTTTTCCACGGAAAGTAAAGATTTGTGAAAAAGACCCCAGACATTCTACACCAGGGGTTTTCAGGCCAAGATCCATCTTTATTTAAAAGTATTTTCCAGGACTTTTCCAGGTCAGTTTCAGCTGCTACAGTCTGACAGACTGTATTTGCTTTATAAACTAAGACTAACCCCCCCCCCCCCCCCCCTGCACCCTCTTCCTCGTCATGCGGGGGTCTGCAGCACTTTTATCACTTTAGCAACAAATAAAATTCACCAAGAGCCGGGGAAACATTTCAACTCAGGAGTGCATTGTATGAAGTTTAAAGTACTGTAGTTATACTACAGTTTTATAAAGAAGTACAAAAAGAAGTGTTTACTTTGCTGAACACAAGGCAAGAACTACATGATGTCAATTTCTACATAAAGGAAATGATCGGTTCTAAAACAATAACATTCAGCTTCTACAACACGCTGGGAGTTCAGAGGGAAAGAAAAATGTTTTCCCACAGTGTGTGTAAATAACAACATGTGTCTCCACTAGGGGTGTAACAATGAATTGGTTAGAAATCAATACAATGTGTGAATTCACATCGGCTGAAATGAAAAATGAATCGTGCATCAAGGCGTAAGGAGTAGAGAGCTACATTATCTCAAAAGTCACTGGTCATACCGTGACACTACACACTATAGTAACAGTAGGTGGCAGCATGCATTGAAAACATTGGTTAAAAATGTCTTGGTCTATTAAACCAAGACATCAGGTTCCTACGTAGACTAAGTGACATTCAGGTGTTGAAACGGAACGTGGTAAGAACCTGTTGACGGTGGAATTATTTGGATATACGGTGCACATCAGTGCACATCATACTGCAAATAAAAATAATTTACTAAAAATTTGCACCACAGTTACTACATCAGAGAGTTACGGTTGTAGCTGACGTTCATGCGCAGTGTTTCGGATTAGTCGTGCACTTGCTGCTCCGTCCCCGTGGCTGCTGACCGGACAGTCTCTCTTTGTTTCCACTGGTGTTTTTGGAGTCAACACTTTCTGCCAGCTGCATTAGAACATACACCACTGTGGACCGAGGAGACCGGCCCACCCCTTCCCTGCTAAGGGTGGGAAGCTGCAAAAATGCATATGGCCTAATTTTCTTTTCCCCAGTGGGAGACCCTGAGGTAAAGAATGAGACGTGCAGATGTGGTTAATGCAAAGATCACATTTGGTCATTGGGTTTTTACAGGTCCCTGGTGGAAACCTTCATAGAAGAAATCCAGCTGTTGGTTTAAATCCTTGACTACTGTCAGTGGTATAATGTTCTCCACCGTAAACGGAGGTTTCCTACTGTTTGGTACCGTTAATGGGAGAACATGTTCTGACTGTTTCCTCTAAAATAATAATCAGTTTCCTAATTTATCATTTATTTATCATTTACTCTCCAGAGAGAGTCTAACTTAGTGAATGTAAATTAGTTAGTCACATACATTCATTTGTCTTCAGAGATTATTCACACCCACATTCACACCTGCGGTCGTTCCAGAATAGATAATAAACTCTAATCACAAATCTGTATGTTTCTGGACTATGGGAGGAAACTGGAGAACCTGCACCTGCGGTCGTTCCAGAATAGATAATGAACCCTAATCACAAATCTGTACGTTTCTGGACTATGGGAGAACCTGGAGAACCTGGAGAACCTGGAGAACCTGGAGAAAACCCAAACACAGAGAATTCCATACAGAAAGAACACTGTATTAGTTACAGCTGTCGACAAACCCTCGATATCCTGCAGTACACACAGAGTTCTACAACGGTACTGTAGTACAGAGAGAACAGAGAACAACCAAAATCAGCTGGAGTTCAACCGCCGGGGACGTGAGAGTGGAGCAGAACTTTTCCACGGTACCATGGACATGACTGGGACGGAGAATTGTGTTTTAGACTGAGGTTATTTTGACCACAGAATAGAACATTTCAAAAAAGTCCTTCTCCCGTTCTCGACATATTCTCTGGACAATAACGTGCATCAAAACATCCTAATCACAACTAATGGACTACAGGAACCAACCAAAAAAAATCAGCAAAATTAAGAAGAGCTATATATAAAATAACTCCACCTTTTAATCAGCTTTCATATTTGCATTTCCTAATAAAGGTCTCTAAAACATGGGAGTATTTTTTCCAAAACTCGTCCCCTGTTTTCTCATCAACACTGTGAGTGCTGTGTTAGACCTACAGTAGGTCAGACCTGGCCGCAGGGCAGCGTCTCAGTCACCAGTGCTGTAGAAACTGCTGGAAGAATAAAAACTAAGGATGAAAACCTGAGCAGTGTGTAAACATTATTAGTCCAAACAGTCAAACCAAAGTGTTTACTGACAGACAGAGCTCAGAAGCAGAGAAAGGTTAGAACTGTTGTCATGATAACAAACCAAAAAGAGTTTCAACATTTCACGGGCCTATGTGGTCTCTGGTGATCAACAACGATGCGAACAAAAAAAATTACACAGAGAACAAAAGCAGAAAGGCTTCATAGGTGTACTTAGCATTTAGCACAAACAAGGC